CTGTGATCCCATCGCCTCCACCTCCCTAGAGCTGGGGTTACAGGCACGCACCACCATGCCCAGGGGTGCTGGAGAAAGAACCCAGGTCTTCTTGTGTGGTAGGTAAGTACACAACCATTCCCAGAACCCACATGGCAGTTCACAATAGTCTAGATAAGCTCCCAGGTGGTCTAGTGGTTAAGATCTAGCCCTCTGGAGAGATGGCTCAGTGGTTAAGAGCACTGCCTACTCTTCCAGAGGACCTGAGTTCAATTCCCAGCACCCACACGATGGCTCACAGCTGTCTGTAATGAGATCTGGTGCCCTTTTTCTATGCCTGCAGGCAGAACACTGTATACATAATAAATGAATCTTAAAAAAAAAAAAAAAAAAAAAAAAGATTCAGCCCTTCCACTGCCGAGGCTTGGGTTTGATTCCTGGTCAGGGAAGCACTCTTTTCTTAGCTGGGTGGCTGAGGTGGCACATGCCTTTAATCGAAGCACTCAGGAGGCAGAGGCAAGAGGTGAGTTCAAGGCCAGCCTGGTCTACAGAGTGAATTTCAGGACAGCCAGGACTGTTTGACCCTGTCTCAAAAAAAAAAAAAAAAAAAAAAAAAAAAAAAAAAAAAAGGTAATAGATAGATAGATGATACATACATACATACATATATGCGTACACACACACACACTGCTAGTAGGCTAGTGCTGAGCTCTGTAGTAGGCTCTATGCACCAAGCCAAAACTGGGGTCACTCAGGCTAAGGCTTTGCACACCAAGCTGAAAGCCACCTTCCTTAAAAGGTACAAAAGGCCAGTTCCCCAGCAGGCCTGCGTGAGCCAGATGTTTCCTCTGAGTAGGTCATTTCAAGGAAAGCCATTGTGAAAACAGCAGAGTGTTTTCTGTCCTCTGCTCTGTGTTCTCCAGCCTCCTCCATCTCTCAGCTCAGTCCCCTGGAACATCCTCTCTGGTTGTCCAGTGAGGTGTAACTGCATTCTAGAATTAGAAATACAAGCCAATAAATCTTTACACTAGATGTGTCAGGATGGCGTCTTTCAACGCTTCCTGTATGTGGTGTGGAATAAGAGAAATTGAGTTAGTCATTTAGCCATGACCTTTTGTGTGCATGTGACTTCCCAAACTACACTCACCCACCAAATCCCCCAAATTTCCCAAATGTCCCTAGGCTGCTGTTTCTTTCCTCTCCACTCTTTGTTTCGTTTCTTTATTTATTTTTTTTTTTAAAGACACTATTGTAGCCCAGGTTGGCCTGAAACTCTCTATGTACTCCAGACAGGTTGAACCCAAAATTTTCTCGCCTCATCCTCTGAATTGCTGGGATTACAGGTATGAGCCACCATAGTCTAGATGGATATTTCTTTTTTCCCAGAATAGAGCTGAGGATATAATTCCAGGAACTGAAAAGGATTGTTTAGGGGAAGAGAACTAGGTCGTTAAAAGGGAAAACTGACTAGTGTTTACACATTGCTATTATTTGTTTTATTTTATATTAAAAATAATTTAAGAGTTTTCTTTTGAGACAGGGTCTCACTGTGTAACCCTGGCTGTTCTGGAACTCCATCTGTAGACCAGGCTGGCCTCAGACTCACGAGATCCGCCTGCCTCTGCCTCCTGAGTGCTGGGATCAAAGCCCTGAGCCACCACACCTAGCTTAGTTTGTTTTCCATTATGTGTACAGGTGCATGTGAGTGTAGTGCCTGAAGCGGCCAGAAGAGGCATCAGATCCCTTAGAGGTGGACATGGTGCTGGGAACTACAGTCCTCTGTGAGAGCTGTACATGTTCTCAGCCACTGAGCCAGCTCCCATCCTCCTAATCTTTTAAGATGGGGTTTCATGGAGCCTGAGCTGGCCTCGAATGATATATGTATAGCAGTGGATGAGCTTGAACTTTTTTATACTTGTTTTTATTGAACTATACATTTTTCCTCAATCTCCCCTCTCCCGTCCCACCCTCCCCCTGCCCCCAACACTCCCAATTTACTCAGGAGATCTTGTCTTTTTTCCCATTCCTAGACAGGTCCATGCATCTCTCTCTGGCCCTCTGTTGCCTAGGTTCTCTGGGGTTGTGGGCTGTAGGCTGGTTATTCTTTGTGATTCTCCGGCTTCTACCTCCAAAGTGCTGAGGCTGCGGAAGTCTACGACCACACCTGCATCATGACTGACGTCACCTTCCCCACACCTTGTGCATAGAGTACTGAATTGTTATGGACAGAAAAATCCATGCCTGACCTTTGCCTCAAAACAGCCCAGCGGGTTAGGAGAGAAAAAAGAACCCAGCAGGCTAGCTGCTCAAACCGAGTGGTCGATAGGCTCATCTTCTAAATGCATTTGATAGTCTCACTGGTAAAGTTTTGGTCGGCAGCGTATGCACTGGTGGGTAAAGGTGCCTGTTGCCAAGCCTATCGACCCGCGCACACGGCCAGGAAGGAGAGAATCAAGTTGCACATGCTGTCCTCTGGCCTCCATCAGCTTGAGGTTGTGAGCCACCAAATTAGACCACCCCACGGGTACAAAGAAAGCTGTACTGGAGATCAAATTGCCAAGGCTACCCCCATCCAGGGATGGGGAGAAGGAGAAAAATGATGTGAAAGGGAATGGGTTTTATGTGACACTCAGCAGCACCGGGGCCTTAAGGTGACACAGGCTGTTTGGATGATTGAAGGGTTCTCCTGGTGGTCTAAGGGGGAGGGGCTCCTGATCACCAGACATCTGTTTACCCAATGCCCATCCTTCTGTTTAGGGCACTGTTATCATACTGCCATTTGGGGACAGCACTGTCACTTTGGACCTAACAACAGTGTTGTCGTGAAGACACACACACACACATACCAGCATACGTCACACATGAACATGCATGTTAGTCAGGTGTGGTGTCACAGGCCTAACCCAGATCTAAGGAGGCACGTGTCAGTCTGAACTGCAGAGCGACACTCTCTCAAAACCTACGAGCTGGGGACAGATGGAGTTCAGTGACCCTTGAGCAAGGTCTTGGGTTTGGGGGAAAAAAAAAAAGATTGTAAAAAATGAATAAACCTTTGTGAGAAAAAATGCAGCCAGCCTCTTTAGTCAAGGCAACCTGCTTCTTGGGATAAGGGGTCTCTCCACCCAGCCAGCCGGTACTTGGCCTAGGCCCATGTCAACACTGTTTTCCCACAGCAGGGATCAATAACCTACTGACTAATTACTCATGAAGAGTCTATCATGGCTGATTCACCTTATGGCGTGTAAAGGCCCATTCACTAATTAACCATGCCATTCTCTTCCACACTTACAGAGAATCTGGGGGTTTGTAAGAGCTTTCTTTCTTTCTTTCTTTCTTTCTTTCTTCATTTCCTGCTTCCTTTAAAGACAGGGTCTCACTATATAATCCTAACTGTCCTGGGACTCACTCTGTAAACAAGGCTGACCTGGAACTCACAGATCTGCCTGCCTCTGCCTCTGGCACACTGAGATTTGTTTTTCTGGTTTTTCCACCCTGAATGTCCTAAAGCACTCTACCTCTAATCTGTATCTCTAGGACTCTTCACTTTTTAGTCTCATAGGCTTTCACTAAATTGTCCAGGCAGGCCTAGCATGAAAGATTGTCTTGCCTTGGGCTGGAGAGACGGCTCAGCTGTTAAAGGCTAGGCTCACAACCAAAAACATAAGATTGTCTTGCCTCAACCCCTAAGTAGCTGGGATCCACACCAGGCCCAAGTAAGAATTTTTCATTAGTTTTCACACACACACACACACACACACACACACACACACACACACACACACAGGCTGCTTATTGTGCCTACTTATTTTGTTGGCCATGTCTCTCTCTATATAAAACAAGCAGTTCCAGCTTTATTTGTTGACATATAATAGGGTGCATATGACTCATACATTTGCATTGGATAGAGCTGATACACTGGTTAAAATATTCTATAAACAGTATGGTGACATTTGCCTGTATTTTCAGTACTCCAGATGTAGTTCAGAGTGAGTTCAAGGTCAGTCCGGGCTCTACTTGAGACTCAATTGCAAAGCAGGGCTGGAGAGATGACTCAGGCTAAGAGCACTGGCTGCTCTTCCAAGAGGATCTGGGTTCTATTCTTAACATTCACATAAGTGCTCACAACCATCCAGGCCCTGGGAATCCCAAAGATGCTCCCTCTGGCCTCCCTGGGCACGGCACAAAAAGACATAAATGCAGGCAAAACATCCATACAAATAAAACTTGAAAAGTAGTTTTTGAAAAGCTGGGCATAGCGGTGCAAGCCTTTAGCTCCATCACTCCTAAAGCGGAGTCAGGCGGATCTCCGTGAGTTTGCCTACACAGTGAGTTCCAGGCCAGCCAGGCCTCCACCTACAAAATGAGGCCCGTCCAAAGGGGAAAAAAAGATCTGGATCTAGACCTATCTGCATCTACTGGTCGTGGAATCACTTGGTGAGGTGGCTTGGCCTTTGAGAGCCTCAGTTTTCTGTCCTGTGATATGGGGGCAGAGATATGCTAACTTGGCAAAGTGAAACAGCAACCTTTAGCTGATGCTTTCAGTTAGGGGGTTATTTTTGTCCGGTAGAGCCTGCCTTTTCCTGTAAATCACAGGGATTGTGTCTGGCATTAAAGGTGACTGGTTCAAGGCATTCAGGGGTGGAGCCTTCTGATCAGATGCCTAGACAAAGTAATAGTTGTTGCCAGATGCCTGGTGTCTACTGCGGATTTAGGGTCTTCCAAGTGTCGGATTGTTGCTGAATCCCTAGGACTGTCCCAGAGCTGCCTAGACTGTGTCCTCAACCGGAAGGAGGTGGGGTCTGGAACCAAAGGGCTGGGACATTAGGAAATGAGAGGTCTCAGAGAGGTCCCACCTGACAGCTACAGCTTAGGCAGGGTTAGAACGATGCGGTCCTCCTGGCCGCGGAGGGGAGCTGGCAGGGGTGCTGGTGAGCGTCAACGGGCTCGGGTGGGGTGGCGGCTGCAGGGAGGGGGTGGTGAAGCTTGGGGACTGCGAAGCGGCGAGGGACGTACTTTGGGGTGCCCCGCTGCAAAGCAGGGCAACGGAAGCTGCGCTGCGCTGAGCATCGCGGAGGCTTCCGGTCACTGACATCTGACCCCTCCCTCCTGCCGTCCCAGCCAGACAGGGCGCGGGGACCATGGGTCCCTGGACCTCCAGGGCCCGGGTCCCCAAGCCGGAGCCCGACCCCCAGGAGACGCTGGACCTGAGCTGTCTGCCCCCGGAGCTGCTCCTGGTGGTGCTGAGCCACGTGCCCCCGCGTTCGCTGCTGCTGCACTGCCGCCGGGTGTGCCGCGCCTGGCGCGCCCTGGTGGACGGCCAGGCCCTGTGGCTGCTGATGCTGGCCCGGGACCGCAGCGCTGCCGGCCGCGCCCTGCTGACACTAGCCCGCCGCTGCCTGCCCCCGGCCCGCGAAGACGTGCCCTGCCCGCTGGGCCAATTCTGTGCGCGAAGACCCTTAGGACGCAACCTCATCAGCAACCCCTGCGGCCAAGGTGAGGGGTCCAGGAAGCGCTGCGAGGGCGGGGCCTCGAGAGAACCGTTGCGCAAGGTGAAGGGCGGGGCCTCAAGGAAGGCACTGGGCAGGACCACCAGAGAGTCGACCGAAGGATGAAGGGCGGGGTCACAAGATAATGGGCGGGCAGAGGGTCGGGGCCACGGAAAAGAACCTATGAGAGAAATGAGAGGCGGAGTCACGGGGTAATTGATGGATGGGGTGAGGGCGTGGCCATGGGAGCCAATGGGAAGGGATGGGGGCGGGATCACAATGGAGATGGGAGAGTGTGCGGGGAAGGGCCCCAAGAAAACCTGTAGAAATTGCTGAGGTCAGGAGCCACAAGGGAACCAGTTAGAAGGGTGAGGGCGAAAGTCACCAGCTGTGTAATAGGCGGGGTCAAGGGACGAGTAGATTGACAAGCAGGTGAAGCAAACGGAGCGGCTAGAAGTGGGATCACACCCGACCCAGTTAGAGTGACTGAAAGGACCTGACCAACCACAAGGGAGCTTGGGAGGGGACCAAACTCCATACCCTCTACCTGAGACTTGGTGCATAAATATTTTGTGTTTGATTAGCTTTTAAATTAAAAATATATATGTATACATATATACACATATATAAATATTTACATATATACATATACATGTTCATACACACATATATATATCATACATACATACATACACACACACACACACACACACACACACATATATATATGGTTTTTCGAGGCAGGGTTTCTCTGTGTAGCTTTATAGACCAGGATGGCCTTGAACTCACAGCAACCTGCCTGCCTCCCGAGTAATGGGACTAAAGGCATGCGCCAGCACCGCCCAGCTTAAAATATATTTTTTATTCCCCTGGAATTGGAGTTACAGGAGGCTGTGAGTCTCCTAGCTTGAGAGGTGGGTACTGAACTCAGGTCCTCCGGAAGAGCAGTTCCTAGCTTTTCAATTTCTTTAGTAGCCTGTTCTGGCCTCCAAAGACACCAAGCACACACACAGTGCACATATGTACATTTTAATGTTATTGCGTGTGCAAAAGGGGCTGGCGTGCCATGGCACAGGTAGGGGCAGTCAATTCTCTCCGTTATTTTCACATGAATTCTTAATTCTTTTCAGGCTGTGACTAATGTGGGGGGGGCAGTTGAACTTGACAGCAATCCCACTGCCTCAGTTTCCCGGTGCTGCGGCGGTTACGCCCACTGAAGCCTTGTTTTTACTTTACAGAAGGCCTGCGCAAGTGGATGGTGCAGCATGGTGGAGATGGCTGGGTGGTAGAGGACAACATGAAAGCCGTGCCGGGGGCCCCCTCACAGACCTGCTTCGTGACTTCCTTCAGGTGAGAGCCCCCACTCCCCCGGGCCGGAGCCCTTGCTGAGAAAGGCCTGCCTGCTCTCACCACCCCTCTCCCACCTTGTAGCTGGTGCCGCAAGAAGCAGGTGGTGGACTTGGAGGAGAAAGGCCTGTGGCCAGAGCTGCTGGACAGCGGTGGTGTGCAGATTGCCGTCTCTGACTGGTGAGTATGTGACCGGGAAGAGTCACTGGCTGAACACCGGGGGGCCGTGGCACACTCTTGTTATCCCAGCAGTCCGGACACTGAGGCAAAAAGGTTGTGGTGAATCCCAGGACGGCAGAGGTAAGCATAAGGCCTGCATGTGCTGTAAAAACAAACCTGAAATAAAATGAGTTCACATGAAACACAGCTAGGGCTTTGAAAGTGGGCACAGTTTTAGAACCTTGATCACGTGCCTCCCTCCCCGGAGTCGAGTGTTACCAGCCTGATAGTAATGTGTATCAAGACGTCTGGAACAGTACCAGCTCCCTGGAATGTCTGACCAGTTGGCTGCTTGCCCAGGTGGTTAACCACAGCCTCCCAGTGAACTGGCATTAACTCACAGCCCTAAGGTGCATTATGGATCCTTTTTTTAAAAAGATTTATTTATTATGTATACAGTGTTCTGCCTGCATGTATGCCTTTGGGCCACAAGAGGGTACCAGATCTCATTATAGATGGTTATGAGCAACCATGTGGTTGCTGGGAATTGAATTCATGACCTCTGGAGAGAGCAGCCGTTTCTCTTGACCACTGAGCCATCTCTCCAGCCCCCATTACCCCCATTATGGATCCTTCTAAAGTGTCCTTGGTGAGCTCAGCTTGGTAGACTATTTGGTATGACTGGAGGCTCCAACAAAGACAATATCCTGGCAGACATGGTTTCTTGAAGGCCCAGAGATCATCTTCCCAAGATCATTGTATTGGGGCAGAGGCAAGAACAGAAGTAGGGACCAAACCCAGGCTCTCGCACACGCCAGAAAAAGCCGCCAACGCTAAGCCACACATGCTGGGTCTCTTTTTAGTTTTATTTTGAGGTGGAGTCTCACCAAGGTGCCCAGGCTGGCCTTATCCTTGAGATATTCCCATGTCAGCCTCTGTAATAACTGGAATTACTTGCCTGAGCTAGCAGGCCTGTCTCTTGAGATCTGGTGATGGGGCAGATTGAGTGTGTGCCTGTGGTGGAGGGGAGAGGTCAGCCTCCTATCATTACTCAGAAGCAGTCTTTGTCTTCCCAGTGCTGAGGTTATAAGCATGTATCACTCTCTTTGGCTGCAGGTGGAGTTTTTTGTTGGGACCGTCAGCCAGATCCCAAATAACCACACAAAAACAATACGAATTGTGAATGCTCAGCTGATAGCTTAGGCTTGTTACTGAGCTTGTTAGCTCTTACAACCTAAATTAACCCGTATTTCTTATCTAAGTTCTACCACGTGGCTCATGGCTTGTGACCTTATTTTCTACACATCGTGCTTCCTCTGCATCTGGCAAGGACACCCGAGACTCTGACCTTCCTCTTCCCAGGGTTCTCTCTGTCCCGACAACCCTGCCTACCATGGACCAGTCAGTTCTTCATTAACACACACACAGTGAGCAACAGGGTTATTCCACAGCGCCTGGCTTTTTAGCTTTTCATTTTCTTCTGAGACAGGGCCTCCCTATGTATCCCTGGCTGACCTGGAACTCTCTGTAGGCCAGGCTGGCCTCAAACATACAGATATCCACTTGCCTCTGCCTCCAGGGAGTTTAAAGTAAAGGCATATGCCTCCACATCTGGCAACACCTAGCTTTTTGTAAGGAGGGGGTTCTCTGTGTAGCCTTGGCCATCCTGGAATTTTCACTGTAGACCAGCTGGCCTTGAACTTGGAGACCCACCTGCCTCTGCCTCCCAAGTGCTGGGATTAAGAACTTGTACAATCACTGGCTTCACACCCAGCTCTTACATGAATCCTGGGTTCAAACCCAGGTCCTCATTCTCATGTGGCAAGCTTTACTGACTTAGCCATCTTGCCAGCCCCAAAAGACCCTTTTGAGGAACTTAATTTGCACCCACAGGGAGACCACACACCCACAAAGACAGGCGGCACATTCAGGCCTCCCCTTCCCGCAGGTGGGGAGCTCGACACGACAGTGGCTGTAAGTACCGCCTCCTTGTCAAACTTCTTGATGCCCACCAGAACGTCCTTGATAAGTTCTCGGCTGTGCCCGACCCCATTGAACAATGGAACAACAATATCTACCTGCAGGTGAGCCTCAGGCCTCAGACGAGCCACTCACTGGGTACCTCTGGGTGAGGGAAGGCTGGTGGGGACCGTGGTGGTCAATAACAGTCATTTTACTATAGCTGTCTTTGTGGGGGGCGGGGCTTATGCCTGTCCATGTCAATGCGGAAAGCTGAGTGATCAATGGCATTTGTCTTTCTATCATCCTCCACTTGGTTTCCGAGAGATTATCTCTCACTGAACGAGGAGCTCATTGATTGGCTAGAGTGACCGGCCAGTGAATTAGAGATGTGCCACCCCAGCCAGCTTGTCCATGGATGGTGGGGATCTGAACTCAGGTCCCTAACACTTGTGTGCCAGACCCTTTATCAACTGAGCCGTTTCCCTAGCCCGGCCCTGTCACATCTCCTGAGGCAGTACTGGAGAAAGCTGGCCTGGGAAGCTCTGGCTGCCTGTTCTCCTGTTCCAACACTAGCACTCAGACCTCAGCCTTGACGCTAGCTGAAGGGCAGGGTGGTATTGGTGGGTGACCATGGCAACAGGCAACCATGATGTGAAGAATCACTGGTGATTTAGTTTCAAATCTCCATGCGATCTCTGGGCCAGTCTACACTGACATTCCTCACATCCTGACCACCTCGGGGCAGGCAGACTTCTTCCTAGTAGTTAGAGCACCAGGTCCCTGGGCTCTTCTGACCTAGTTTGGGAAGTCCCTCTAGAAGACTACTCAGGCTCACTTCTACTTTTTTTTTTTTTTTTTTTTTTTTTTAAGACACAGTCTCATATAGCCTGGGCTGGTCTCAAACTCACTGAGTAGCTGGGGCTAGCCTTGAGTGCCTTCCATTTCCCAAGTGCTGGGAATAATTGCAGGTGTGCACAGCCACACCTAGAATTTCTGCTACATTCTTGCTGATAAAACCTCTTGTATTTGGTTTGGGTTTTTTTGTTTGTTTGTTTGTTTGCTTGTCTGTCTGTCTTTTTACGACAACATCTTTCTATATATCCCAACTGTCCTGGACCCAACTGTCCAACTTTCCATCCTCCTGCCTCAGTCACCCAGCCCTGTGATGACGGAGGCTTGTCACCACACCTAGCCTTAGATTCCACCTGTTAATGACAATGTGACAAGATTTCAGGAGAAAACAGGGACTAGGCAGAGTGACATGGCACCGTCTGGGTGAGGTCTGCCTGCCAGGAAGGCTGTGACTGTCTCCTTTCTCCTTCAGGTCACCCACGTGTTCTCCAATATTGGGAGGGGCGTCCGCTTCGTGTCTTTTGAACACTGGGGCCAGGACACACAGTTCTGGGCTGGCCATTACGGGGCCAGAGTGACCAACTCCAGCGTGATCGTGCAAGTCTGTCAGTCCTAGGTGAAGGCCACCAGCTTTTGGTGAGAGCCTGACTGTGCCTTCCAGGAGCTGGGGCTGTTGGCTGGAATCCTTCATGAATCAAGCGCCATGTAACTCTAGGATCCAGTGGAGGGGCCTGCTTGGCCTTGTTCAGAGTCTTAAACACTGGAGTCCTCCGCCAGATCTTCCCATCTGCTCCTTGGGTAGAGCGAGGGTGCCGGGTGCCGGGTGCCGGGGTGCATGCTCGTCTGTCACAGGGAAGTCATAAGCTGCCTGTTTCAGTTTATCTCTCACTGCCCTTTCCTCAGTCTTGTTCCCCCACCCTTTTCTGAGACAGGATCTCAAGTATCCCAGCTGGCCAAAAACTAAGGATAGCTTTAGCCTCCTGCCTCCGCTACCCGCGTGCTGGGATTACAGGCACGCACCAACACCAGGTTTGCGCGGAGCTGGGGATGAGCCCAGGGCTCAGGACAAGTCGGGCACACTACCAACTAAGCTGCGTTCCCAGCATTGCCTTCTTGTCACCTGGCTTCAGGGACTGCCTTTGTCCCTTCACCGAACCTCTCCACTCACGCTTGAACTTACGGCTAGCAAAATTCCAGCTCCCGTGTGAAGCCAAGCTCACATGGCTACACCCAGGTCTCCTCGTTGAAGGGTGTGATCTGCCCACAGAATGTCTCTAAACAATGAGGCAGTGCCTAGAGCCCCGGCCCTGACCCTCAGGGACTTCTGTAATTGTGTAATATTTAAAGTTATTTATCATTTTCTCAAACAGGGAGAGAATAATAATATACTGGCAATATCTGTCTGCCAGTTGCACTGTAATAAATCGATTATTTTGCCTAAACTGGCTCATATCTTTTTCTGTGTTTACCTTGGTCTTTTTTATGCTTTGTTCTTGTTATTGCTGTTCTGTCACAGGGTCTCGCTGTGTAGCCCTGGCTAACCTGGAACTCACTGTGTACATCAGACTGGCCACAACTGCCCCCACCTACCTCTGCTGGATATGCCACCACAGCCAGCTGCTCGTGTGTGTGTGTGTGGGGGGGGTGTTTGGTATGGTGTGTGTGAGTCTGTGTGCGTGGTGTGTGTATGATATGTGTGTGTGTGTGTCTCTGTGTGTGTCTGTGTGCCTGTATGTGTCTGTGTGTGTGTGTGTGTCGTCTGTGTGTATGTCTGTGTGTGTCTCTGTGTGTCTGTGTGTCTGTATGTGTGTTTGTGTCTGTGTGTGTGTCTGTGTGTCTATGTGTGTGTCTGTGTGTCTATGTGTGTGTATCTATATGGGAACGTGCACACATACACATTTTCTGTGCTTGGTGGAGATGCATATTTGCCACAGCAAGCATGTAGAGATCAGGGGACAGCTTGAAGGAGTCATTTCTTTCCACAATGCAGGGAAAAACCCCAGGGGCTCAAGGGCTATCTGGATGGGTGGCAAGCATCTTTACCCACACAGAGCTATCTTGGCAGCCAGTATTTTGATCGTTTTATCAGACAGGGCCTTGCTATGGTGTGGCTGGCCTGGAATGCATGGCCATCTTCCATCCTGTGTTTCCCAAATGGTAGCATTATAGGCAACACTTGCCTAGCTTGCCTCGGGGCTTGGTTTTATTTTTGAGCCAAAATCTTGTGTAGCCGAGGCTGACTTTAAACCTCTATCTAGCCAACCAAGACCCTGAAATTCTGATTCTCCTACCTCCGTAAAAACAGCACTCAGTTTTAGTCACTGAGCCATCTCTGAGGCCGCCAAATTTTCCTTCTGGGTGGAAGGTTTTTTTTTTTTTTTGTTTTGTTTTTGTTTGGTTGGTTGGTTTTTCAAGATAAGGTTTCTCTGAGAGATAGCCCTGGATATCCTGGAAGTCACTTTCTAAACCAGGCTGCCCTTGAATCTACAGAGATCTGCCTCTGGCTCCAGAATGCTGGGGGGGGGGGGTTAAGGCAGGGTTTCTCTGTGTACCTTTAAGGCCTATCCTGGAACTGGCTCTGTAGATCAGGCTGTCCTCGAACTCATTTGCTTTTTATTTTATATATGAGTGTTTTGTCTACATAAATGTCTGTGCATCGTGTGTGTGCAGTACCTGCAGAGGCCAGAAGACAGCATCAGATCTCCTAGAACTGCAGTTAGAGACAGTTGTGAGCCACCATATGGGTGCCCTAACTTCTGGTCCATCTCTCCAGCCCCAGATTTCTTACAGAAGTTGTTAATGCCACAGACAGACAGCAGCCTGATGAAGGACCTCTGAGGACAGTTCAGGCCCGTGTGGCTAAACCTGGGTCCTTTAGGGGTTTCAGAGGGAAGAGGAGGTTCCAGACCTGGTAATTGTTGAGTACCCACAGTCTGGATTGTCAGTTAGACTGTCTCCATGGACATCAGCTATGAGGGTAGGTCAGGGGAGATTCTGGAAAAACCAAACTATTGTAGCTTCAGGAACTATCAAATGAAGGGATTTTACAAAATAGCCTGCCCTTGTAAGGGGGACCTCAGCAATGCCACCAAGCCAGATCAGTCCGTGGGTAGTTTATTGGAGGTGGAACTGGCAAGGCTGCCCCCCCAAGCGGGGGTGGGCAGAGGTGGGAAGCAAGCAGTTTTTATATGACAGCAGAGTGGGGTCTCTGAATTGATACAGGCCTTTCTAGATTGGCCCAGAACCAATGCCTTGCCTCAGGCAGACCTTTGAGGGAGGTGCCTGGGAAACAAACCCACCTGTAGACTTCTCTTTAGCCAGTGATAACCCTTCTGTTTACCTGGTCAGACTCCTTCTGTTTAGGACATTGTCATTAGCACTGCCATTGGGGGGGGGGCTGCTTTGGCCCTTACACGCCTGGCTAACCATGGTCTGGCCCACAGTCTCCTACAGTCGGCAGCAGCACAGGACACGGTCACACTGTGACATCTACTCCACTAAATTCGGTGCATTTGAATTACAGTTTAGATCACCCTGGGTTTCCAGGGACAGCGGGGTTATGGAGAAACCCTCACCACAGTATCTGATGACCGCATGTTGGGAGAGTGTGGTTGAGGCAGCACCCAGTCAATAAGGCAGGTGAGGTGTGGCCCTCAAGGGCCCGGAACACTGCAGAGGGAGGGGAATTGCCTGGAACATAACCCCAGCCTTTACAGCAGAAGGATGAGAACCAAGATCATCCTTGAGAGCCTGGGGCCAGCCTGCACTACATGAGACCCTGTCTCCAAAACGAAGCTCTGAAATATATCAAAACGTTTCAACCAGGTCCGGCCACCCAGCTCCCGAGGAGAGGGTGTCGATCTCCAGTTGTTAGAAATAAACTTGGGTTCACCAAGTAAGAGAGCACAACTCCAGTTGAAGTGTCTGGACAGGCAGACTTTACTCTTGACCAAGCCTGTATTGCAAAGGTCGGCACACGGAAACAGGAAGTACATCTGGCTTTTATTCTAATTCAGGAAGTGGCTATGTCTTTTCCCCATTGGCTGAGACCCACTCACCATCTTAATTCAACTGGCTAGTATGAAAAGGATTGGCACACCGAAAACGAGGGGACAGGGGTCACTGTTCCAAAAGGGCGGGGCCACTGCTCTCAGGGGGCGGGTCCACTGCTCTAAGGGGGCGGGGCCACTGCTCTAAGGGGGCGGGATCACTGCTCCAAGGAGATGGGGCACTGCCCAATTCAGGGGGGGATCCACTGCTCAAGGGGCAGGGGCCACTGCTTTTGACCACCAGATCCCTGGAATGCAGCTGTGAGCTTTTGTGTAAACAAAGGTTTCACTGGGTGTCAAGATTAAAATATTAGCATAAAAGTTTTACAAGGAGTTGGGAGCACATTTCTGAATTTTTTATCCTAAACACAAGTTTTATAGTACTTGATAGAAAAGACTCACATTTGATATTTCTTACATTGTGACCCAGAAAATAATAAAAAAAATAACCATTCCAAGTGTGGGCTGGGCATGGTGGCACACACAGACCTTTAATCCTAGCACGTTGAGAGGCAGAGACAGGTGGATCTCTGAATTTTAGGCTAGCCAAGGCTACATACTGAGTCTCTGTCACCAACAACAAAAAATATTTTTAAAACCCACGTTTGACTTCTACTGAATGCATATTCTTTTCCGATCATCATCAAGTCATTCTGAAGTTGGCAAGCATAGGGAATGGTATGGTGACCTAGGACTCTACTTGGCCTGGGCTATACACACTCTCCTTATCTAATGACTTATTTAGCAGCCTGTCTCCTTTACCTGCATGTACTATGCTCACACATCCATCTTGCAACAATGTACCTGTTTTGGGTTCCTATCTGCATCTGGCTACATAAAAACCCCTATGAAAAATGGGATAAGTTAACCCCCAATCATCAAATCGAGTCAGATTTTATTTAGTTGTACTCTCATTATGTTTGGGTGAAAGAATGGAAAAGTTGGTCCAGCCTGAACTAGTTTTGGGTGTGTGTGAAACAAGACAAAGCTTGTCCTCAGGTAAACTCTTAGAACATCCTACTTACCATCTTAGGCAAGCAGAGGCCAGAGGACAATTCTGAGTCGGCTTGTCCTAGTTAAATCCCTAGCACTGGAAATGGTTGAACCTTGCTGAGGACTCCCCAGACGACTCCCCAGACGACTCCCCAGACGACTCCCCAGACGACTCCCCAGACGACTCCCCAGACGACTCCCCAGACGACTCCCCAGACGACTCCCCAGACGACTCCCCAGACGACTCCCCAGACGACTCCCCAGACGACTCCCCAGACGTGACCTCACCAGGGTGTATGCATTAGGCTCCACCATCTGAATGTTCAGGCTACAGGCATTGAAAGACCAAAAAATAAAGAAAATGAAGGACGGTCTGACCTGGAAAGCTAACCAATATCTGTTCCTTGGAATTTGCTAACTTCCTCTCACAAGGCCCTGAGATAACAAGATACCAAGAATTCACACTGCCCCTCCTTTCCTGTGAGTCAGCAGGTGGTAAATAGGGTCCTTAGGAAACAAAGAGATAGCTGCTACTCTGGTTTGCCCAGAGAAAATTAATTAGCACACCCTGAGGCCCTAAGGTCTGTTGATCCTTATAGCAGACCATCCAGCCTCCAAGGGTCATGTACTCAATGGACAGAGGGTTGCACCCCCTCCCTAAGCTTGTGGGTTTGCCTTTAAAAACACCTGGGCCCAGGGGAGGGGGCTTCTCTCTAGCCTGAGTGCTGGAGGAGCCCGTTTGCGCAAACTTAAAGCCTCTTTCGTGTTGCAGCAACTGGACTGGACATTGAGTTCTTGGGGTATCAACCGAACCTGGAAGACTCCTCATTCTGAGGGTCTTACAGCATGTACCACCACCTTGGGTTTGTGCACTCCTAGGAATTGAAGCTAGGGCTTCACTGATGCTGGGAAGACACTCTACAAACTGAATTCCATCCCCAGCCCTTTTAAGGAGTGTCTGCTTTGTACACATCTTTTCATGTCAAGCCGGGTAGGCTTATGAGGGAACAGAGGAAGGAAATTAACACTTCTGTGTAATGACTAAGAATCACTGGGCTGGGCTAGTGAGAGGACTCAGTGGGTAAAGGCACTTGCTGCCATGGCTGATGACCTGAGTCTGATCCCCAGAATCACATGGTACAAGGAGAGAACAGACTCCTAAAAGTTGTCTTCTGACTACCACAGGCATGCACACACACACACACACACACACACACACACACAATAAATAAATAATAAATAAATAAATAAGTGGTTTTCCAAATACTTAGAAAAAATAATTGTAGCCACGCAAGGTGGCATGTAGATATAATTCCAGATCTGAAGGGAAAAGGATCCAAGCTTGCAGCCAACGGAACTAAATAAAGAAAGCAAAAGGGCAGAAGAGGCTAGGCACTGTGGTGTGCATCCTTAATTCCAGCACAGGAGGCAGAGGCAGGTGGGTTTCTGTGGTTCCAGAACATTCAGAACTATATTGTGAGACCCGGTTAAAAAAAAAAAAAAAATAAAGGAGGGGAGGAGGAAGAAAGGAAGAAGAAAAGGATGGAAAGACCCAGACAGACAGCCGCAACTAGTCAGATGCAGAAAACAGCTGATTAGAGGATGCCTGGCCCCAGTAGATACAATTGCAACACAACTCCTGCACATAAGGCTCAGGCAGGAAGCAGGACCGTGGTAGTCAAAGGACTAGCTGTAACAGCATGGCTGCCTGAACAAGACCGGAACAATCCCTACACCAGCTGACATCCTAAAGTAGATGAGGAATTCTCATAGACCCAAATCCCTAGATGAAGAGCCACAGTCAGTTAACAACTTCTGAGAGAGGCAGAATTCGTCTTCTCCAGGGATGGTCCCCCCATTGGACGGTCAGCCCTGGATATGTATGCACGCAGCCACGCTGAACAAACCCCGCAGGTTGGATTACATGCTTGTTCATTTATATGGATATGTAACAACAACGGCGGAAGAGAAGCCCCCATGAATTTTGGAGAGAATAGGGGGAGAGGCTACATGGGAGGACAGGGGAATTATGTAAGTATATCTTAATTAAATTTTAAGAGAAAGAGAGGGTTGGAAATGGGGGGAGAAGAAAGAAGAAAGGAACAGGATGAACCATGACGGGGTAATTGTAGTTAGCATTTAACACCTGTTTATTAAGATTTTTTTTTTCTTTTGAGATTCAGAACTCACTATGTAGACCAGGCTGGCCCGGAGCTCATAGAAATCCACTTGCTTCTTTCTCCTGAGTGCTGGGATTATAGTGTGCATTACCACACCCAACTATTATCATCATTTTTAATTGTGTGTGCATGTGTACGTGGGTATGTGTGCATGTGTGTGTTTAGACCACATGCATGTAGGTGCCCTTGGGGACCAGAAGAGGGTGTCTCCTGGAGCTGGGTTACAGACAGTTATGAGCTGGGTACTGCACTCAGATCCTCTGCAAGAGCCGCAAATGCTGTTAACCACTGAGCCATTTCTCCAGCCCCCAATCTAGCTGCTTTTTAATGTTGAAAGAATCCAGCATTTAGAAAGTATGACAAATGTGTCCAGCGTAAATTGTGTCATTGAGTAATTCATTGTCTCAGACCTGAAAATTTCCCCTGAACTACAGGGCATGAAGGAGTGCTTGCAACCGAGTCTGTGGTGCCAGGATGTTTAAAGATCGAAATGTGTTTACTCTATTACAAGCGCTAAGTGCTGAGGCTGGCTGTGCTTCTATTGGGCTTCTGGAGAAAAGCGAAAGGTTTAAATTTGTAAAAGCAGACTATTTAGAGAATTTAATTAACTTCCATTCTAAGTGGGCCATGAAGTTGTTGGAACTGGATTTGGCAGAACATTAATCAAACAAGCCTAGAAAGTGGATGTTACAATTTCCTAGGTTTATAGATAGAATTAATATTTGTAAGTAGAACCCCAGTAACTAAGGAAGACAGTCTTTCTTTCCTTCTTTCTTTTCTTTCTTTCTTCCTTTCTTTCTTTAAGCTCTGGATCCTCCTTCCTCTCGGGACACCTGCACCCAAGTCCACAGACCCACAACATATACTCAAAAAAATTCTTTTAATTATTTTAGATTTATTTTGTGTATGGGTATTCTTTGCCTGTATGTGTGTATGTACACCGCAAACATGCCGTGCCCACTGTGTCCAGAAGAGGGAGTCAGATCTCTGGAACTAGAGTTAACAGGTTAGATTTTGGCAGCTGTGTGGATGTTGGGAATGGATTCTGTAGAAGAGCAACCAGTGCCATTAATTGTAGAGCCATACCCCCAGCCCCAGCATACACATATATTTAAAACGGAAAAAAAAGGAAAAGCAGTAATCCTCTTTTATTTTCTCAATACAAAGTCATGCATGACATTCCCCAGCCCCCAAAACAACCATAGGGGAAGGAATAAAATTAAACAGAAAGCAAATATCAGTTGTGTTTCATAATAACATCTTCCTAATGCATTATTTGTAAGAAAGAAGGGCTCCTTAGAGAGCTGTGGACGCCAGCTTGGGTACCCTCATGCTGCCTTTATTGAGGGAAGCACACACACCCAAGTTACAAGATCCTTCACCAAGCACTTATGGAAATCCTGATGACAAGTCAGTAACAAAACAAGGCTCGACACATCCAGAGGTGCATTGGCTAACATGTCACGGACCCCTAGGGATGAGCTTGGTAGACACCTGGGACCCCAGGGTGATCTCTAAGAACCGTTCTGAGTGGCCGACATCATGGGGAAATGCTGTTTTTACGCCAGCTGGATGACAATCTGTTATCTCAACATTCCGGCAGTGGGGGCAGGAGGATCACTCCCTTCACAGGAAGTTCAAGGCCGGTCTGGGTTACTGGAGACCCTGTCTCAAGGAAGAAAAGAGAGGAGGGGGAGAGAGAATACAGTGTGGAAGAAAAAGAAAGAATAACCACCGGCTGATGTAGTGGGATATTCACTTTGTCTCCTTCTGTGGCACTGACCACGCCCATTGGCAAGCCAGCCACGTTGTGCGCCATAATGTTACGAGTAGTTTTCCCCGACTTTCTGGGCCCACCGCCACGCCAGCCCCAAATAATACACTGTATTTGATATAATTTGAGACTCTGTATTTGATATAATGCTGTTGGCCAGTTACTTGTTTCTTATCGGCTAGCTCTGTCTTAAGTATTAACCCATTTCTATCTAAGTATTTTCACGTGGTCTCTTACTGGGGAGTGGGGCCAACGTCTGGTCTCCCCAGTCTCTCCATGTTGACTCCTCCTTACAACTTCCTCAAATCCTCCTTGTCTCCTAGTCCCGCCTGCTTTCCTATTGGCCAACAGTGCTTTACTCATTAACCAGTATGAGAAACATATTTACAGAATGATATCTCCCATCAGGCTGATGCAAAGGCAGGGAGGTGGATGTAGCGAGATTTGGCTAAGACCATCAAAAGAAGCTCAGATGGGGCCACCAAGAAGGCTCAGCGGGTAGGGTGTTCGCCAACAAGGCTGGTCCCCAACAGCCACACAGTGGAGAAGACAACCAACCATCATCTTCTGATCTCCACACTAGAACCGTGGTATGTGCCAGCCCCCAAGTAAAAGCGTTTTTTAAAAAAATGTGTAAGTGACTGTAACCCCTGAGTATGTCTATTTATAATTTTTTTTCTTTCTTTGAATTCTTTCTACTCTAATTCCTGGTTAAAAGGAATGGGATAGAGGCTGGAGAGATGACTCAGCTGTTAGGGGCAGCAGCTGTGCTTTCAGAGAACAAGAGTTTGCTCCCGGTACCTGACTCCACACAGCTCTAGAACATCTGCCTGCCTTCCTTTTCTGGCTTCCATACGCACACGTGAACAGACACACACAGACACGTGAATAAATCAGGCCAGCCTGCTCTACAGAGTGAGTTCCAGGATAACCAGGGCTACACAGAGAAACCCTGTCTCAAAATACCAATAGTAATAAATAATAATAATGAACTTATAAAGCCCTACTTAACTGTTTGGGGGACATGACTCAGTGGCAGAGCACTTGACCAGTTTACATGGGGTTCTCGGTTCAATCCTTGGTAGTGGCAATAATAAATAAGGCCCACCTAAGCATATTGGTTGACACAATGGTCTCGGCCACTGACTGACCACTCTCAACAAGTCTGTCCTCTGCAGTGGACTCTTATTAGACTGTAGAGTCCAAAGGCTAAGAGGCAATGGTACCACTTCTCATTTTCTGTTCCTCTTTCTCTTTGAGAGGCAGGGTCTTCTGTATCGGGCTGGCCTGATCTGCTCAGGCGGAGCCGCCGGGACCTGTTTGCTTATTGGGAAGCTAGAGTTTTGTGCCCGAGGAGCAGGCACTCTTCCAAATGAGCCACATGCCAGCCTTCTGTGTCTCTCCTTTCTCCACTTCAGCACTTTCTCTCACAGAGCAGATGTCTCCTTCTGGCTCCCTTCACTTCACTTTGCCCCACATCGGCCTTTTGAATTTCTCCATGTTTCTGCAGATTCAGATTGGTGTCCGCTTATCTGACCATTCTCTCTAGAGCCCACACAGCCCACCGTGGTAGAAAGTATCTCACTTGCTTGCCGTTTATGGCAAGTTCACACGCTGCTCCATAGAGAAGAGGCCCGTGGGCTGGGGAAGAGGCCTGGAGCGGGAAAGGTCCGTGTTCTGTTTCCATCTACACACACCGTCCGCCTCAACCTGTCTTGGGACTACAGGACATTCAGCACACTCCATTTATGCAGTGCTGCTGGGAAATGAACCCTGTGCCTTGTGCATGCTAGCCAGGCACTCTACAGCTGAGCCATACCCACAGCCCTGACTGGTTTGACAGGATAATGTTTCATATGACCAGGCGGGCCTGAGACTCGCTATGTAAGCACAGCTAGCCTCAAATTCACTATCCTCCTGCCTCCACCTCCACAGTGCTGGGATCACGGGCATGGAGCACCAACCACACCCAGCTGCCTTAGCCTACTTATAACTTCCATGGAACGTCCTAACTTTCCTCCCTTACGCTAGCCGGGTTGTGTTTTTAGCACTTGCAGTCAAATGGATTTAACCCACTTAATCCATCAAAACTACCCTTTGAAGGATAGCCATGACTTTTCTTCCCCAAAGGTCCCCACTGGACAATTCTGTTGCTGGATGTAGACACAGAAGATGGTGAGTGACGCACGGGCCCAAGCTCCATTTGGATCCTTAGATGTGCACACAGCCAAGCGTGGTAGCACAAAGCCTGAAATCACAGTGCTCTGAAGACAGAGGCAGGAGAGTGGCAAGTTTGAGGCCAGCGGATGCAAGGAACCCAGGGTGAGCAGTTTAACTTGGCCAGCCAGCTCCTGATGAACTGAGAGACGCTGTCCCAAACACTAAGGTGTAGGCCTAGCAAGTTGGCTCAGCTTATAAAGGAGCTTGCTGCGGAGCCTGACTGACAAGGCCTGAGTTCAGCCCTCGGAATCAATCCACTGGTGGAAGGAAAGAACCAACTTGTGAAAGTTGACCTCTGACCTTCACAGGTACAGTGACACACAGACGTGTTTGCACTCACGCACGCACAATAAATAAAGGTATAAATAGAAAAGTGGAGAGTGATTCAAAAAAACACCAGAAAAGGCTGGCAAGATGGCTCAGTGCTCAAAAGCATAGGCTGCTCTTACACAGGACCCAGATGATAGCTCACGCCAGCCATCTGTACTCCAGGGTTCAAGGCTCCCCTTATGGCCTGTGTGGGCACACATAAATACAGGGAGACGAACACTCGCACACATAAATAAAAATAAATCTAAAGTAATAATAGCAGAGAGGTAGTTGTGTCTGCCTTGGAGTCTGCAGAAACAGGTTGATCTCTGTGAGTTCCAGGCCAGCCTGATCTACATAGCGAGTTCCAGGACATCTACATAATGAGATGATGATGATGATGATGATGATGATGATGATGATGATGATGATATACGCGTAATGGAATGCGGTCATACAGCCCATCCGGGCGGGAGGGTGCTGATCTTCACAGAGGGGAGGGCTTCGCTAAAGCTGAAGAGGAGAGATGTTGCGGCGGAGCCCGGGTGTAGGACGATTCTGCTAAGGACGGAGCGGGCTTCTGAGAACCCGGCGAACAGGAGATGACCCTGGCTTGGCTTTCATCGTCGGGTTTCAAATCCGGGGGGAGGTCAGAGCCACAGCTGTACCTGGCGTCGGTGTCAGGAAAGGCTGGCTGGGGCGGAGGGAGCAGGCGGGGCTGGGGGCGGTGCCCCGGGAGTGCTCCAGGAGCGTGGGAGCCACGTGAGGGATCGGAGGGACCTGATTCGGCAGGCGCTGGGGCGGATCACTCGGACTGGAACGTTGCCCGGTGTCCCCTCCTCCTCCCGGGTATCCCGAGCAGGGGAGAAGCCTGTCCGCCAGGATCCCAGGTCCCGGGGAAGCTTCGACGGCTTCCCCCGCCACCTCCGAGCTGGCCACCAAGTGAGCACAGGGACAGGTAGGGACTGAGGTTGGGGCCCGAGGGTCACGTCCACACGGCAGCTGGGGCAATCCGGAGGATGGAGAAGCCTCTCCGCTGGCTCCATGCCCCTGGCGGAGTTTCCTGGAATCCCTACTCCCTTTCCCAGACTCTCGCGTTTACAGGACTCACTCTCAGCAGAGCAAGTGACAGAGCCACAAGTCGCAATGAAAAGACTTTGTGTGTGTTTAGTTTTGCTTTTGCTTTGTTTTTATTTTTTCCCTTCCTCCCTCTCTTCCTCCCGCCCCCCCCCCAAGGTTTCTCTGTGTAGTCCTGGCTGTCCTGGAACGCACTCTGTAGATTAAACTGCCATTGAACTCACGGAGACCCACTTGGCTCTGCCTCCTGAGTGCTGGGATTGAAGGCGTGCACCACCACCGCCAGACTTTTAATATTTTAAAATAGCATACTCGGGGCGGTGGTGGCGCGGGCCTTCAATCCCAAAAAGCAAGCGTATCTCTGCGAGTTTGAAGCCATACTGGTTGGTTTACAGAGTGAGTTCAGGCCAGCCAGGGCTGTTACACAGAGAAAACCTGTCTTGAAAAAAAAAAGGCAGAAGAAGAGTGCAAAGTCATGGGTTTCATTTTCCAAGTTCCAGACACACTTTGTTTTTATGGCTAAGCAGGTAAAAATGCCTGGCGCCAAGCTTAAAGATGACCCTCAAGACTTAGGGTTGAGCGAGGTGTTGGTGGCGCATGCCTTTAATCCCAGCACTCGGGAGGCAGGGGCAGGCGGATCTCTGTGAGTTCGTAGGCCAGCAGTGGTCTACAGAGCGAGTTCCAGGACAGCCTACACACACACACACACACACACACACACACACACACACACACACACACACGTCATTTTGAAAAGGAGAGAATTGACTCCCACCTGTTGTCCTCTGACCTCCACACCCTAACAAATGCACGCACCAGACATGCACCTTCCTTTTTATTTAAAAGGAAATAAACAGATCTTCCAACACCCATTCTTGCAGCTCTAGCCATCCAAAAATATCCAACGGGGGACGAGTGAGGGGGGAGGGGTCATCCTACCCAGGCCAGACCAACAGTGTTCCCACACGGCCCCTGAAGGTGTCTGTCTGGATCATTCCGGTGGGCAGCCCCATTGCAGAATCTGTGCTTCTGTCTCAATGCTGTTTCAGGATTTAGCTACATGATGCATTTCAGCTGTGGCGACTCCTCCCAATTTAAAACGTGTTCTTCTGAGTTACTTTTTCAATGGCCAGGCTTTTGTCGTCCCCCGCCCCCAGTTATTCGACTCCCTAGACTGAAAAGCAAAACTACCACAAATCTGACCTTAAACAATGATGTTGTGCCGGTTAGTTTTATGTCACATTGACACAGGCTGAAGTCAGTTGAGGAAAGGGGACCACAACTGAAAAAATGCCCCTACCACGCCTGGTGGTAGCGCATGACTTTAGTCCCAGCACTCAGAAGGCAGAGGCAGGAGAATATCCATGAGTTCAAGGCCAGCCTGATCTACAGAGCGAGGGCCAGGACAGGCTCCAAAGCCACACAGAGAAACCCTGTCTTGAAAAATAACAAACAAAAAAATACCCCCATGCCTTCGGATGGTGGCTGCAATAGCAGTCCTGATCAAGGACGCAGATAAACTAACTCTGGGTCACCTTCTCACAGTAATGGCCCCTCATGCCATCGAGGCTGTGATCCGACAGCCCCCTGACCGATGGCTTCCAAATGCACGGATGGACGACCCATTGCCAGCTCTGCTCCTTAATCCAGACAGGCTGCACTTCTGGACCACCACATCCCTGCACCCAGCCACTCTCTTCTTCCGGAGGCCCACGCGGACACCGCCCCGCCCCACGCGGACACCGCCCCGCCCCACGACTGCCACCGCCCCGCCCCACGTGGACACCGCCCCGCCCCACGACTGCCAGCAGATCCTAGCTGAGAAGTGCGGAACCAGAGAAGACCTGACGGACCAACCGTTGCCTGGAGCCGAATACACATGGTTCAAGGAAGGAAGCAGTCTCTTGCAAGATGGCATACGGAGAGCAGGGGCAGCGGTGGGAGACGGACAAACCACAATATGGGCCAGTGCTTTGCCACCGGGACCATCAGCCCAAAGAGCGGAGCTCATCGCTCTAACCCCAAGCCCTCAAGATGGCAGAGGGCCACAGAATTGACATCTACCCGGACAGCTGCTACACCTTCACCACAGCTCAAGTACACAGAGAAATTTACCGGAGGCGAGGCCTATTGACGTCTGCAGGAAAGGACATCAAGAATAAGACTGAAATCCTGGACCTCTTGCAGTCTCTCATCCTGCCACGAAAACTGAGCATCATGCACTTCCCTGGACACCAGAAAGGAAATGACCCGATAGCCAAAGGGAACCGGATGGCTGACGAGGAGGCCAGAAAAGCAGCTTTGGGCCCATAGGTCCTCCCCTTAAAGACCTCTGATCCAGCCTCACATACACCACAGGGATTTGAATACACCGACCAGGACTTAGAAACAGTCCAGAGCTTGGGGGCTGATTATGGTCCAGAAGCAAAGGTGTGGCACTACCAAGGCAAGATCCTGCTACCCCAGATGGTGCCTAAAGAGCTTTTGTCCCAGCTACATTGATGGACCCATCTCGGAAGCAAGAAGCTCAAGATCCTCCTACAGTGAGAAGAACACACCTATTATATTCATACCCTCAATGCCCTCCTCCAGCAGATCACTAGTGCCTGCGTCCCTTGTGCAAAGGTGAACGCTGGGCGACTCAAGCTGCCCGAGGGAATCAGGGACAGAGGGGAACGGCCAGGGGCCAACTGGGAGGTTGATTTCACAGAGATCAAACCTGGTAGTTTCGGGAACAGGTACCTTCTAGTTTTCATAGACACCTTTTCAGGATGGACTGAGGCCTTTTCTACTAAGCGTGAGACCACCCAAGTGGCGGTCAAGAAGATACTAGAAGAAATCTTCCCACGGTTTGGACTGCCTGAGGTAATAGGGTCCGACAATGGACCCGACTTTGTCTCACAGGTAAGTCAGTTGCTGGTCAAAACATTGGGGATTAATTGGAAGGTACAGTGTGCATACAGACCCCAAAGCTCAGGACAGGTAGAAAGAATGAGTAGGACAATTAAAGAGACCCTAACTAAATTGACTAAATTAACATAGAGACTGGCACTAGAGACTGGGTGCAGCTCCTGCCCATGGCACTGTTCCGGGTTCGGAACACACCCTCGATACACGGGCTTACACCCTTTGAGATCTTATTCGGAGGACCTCCACCCATAATGAACACGCTCCCCCCAGATCCTAACCACCTCACTGATTCCCAACCCCTCCAGGCCCGGCTGCGTGCTCTTCAGATTATTCAGAACCAGATCTGGAAGCCGCTGGCTGCAGCATACCAGGCCGGAGGCCCTGTCGTCCCGCACCCATTCCAGATTGGGGACTCGGTATACGTCAGGCGCCACCAGTCCAAGACTCTGGAGCCTCGCTGGAAGGGCCCTTACACCGTGCTCCTGACCACCCCCACGGCACTCCAGGTGGACGGAATCACTGCATGGGTTCACGCCTCACACGTCAAGAAGGCCGGCACCATCGGAGATCAGAAGAGGGACGAGACAGCGATGGCGACTGCAACACACCCAAAACCCGCTCAAGCTAAGGCTTCCCCGCAATGCCTAATTGTTTTGCTTTGCTTACTGTTCCCCCATTTCCCGGCCCCTATTGAGGGCAACGCGCATGCCCCTCAGCAATTGATCTGGCAGGTGATTTCCCAGACAGGCGAGGTTGTCTGGTCCACCTCTGGCCATCATCCACCTGGCACCTGGTGGCCTAGCCTCACCCCTGATTTTTGTCAACTGGCTGCTGGACTGGAAACTTGGGACATCCCTACTTACAGCGCGGACTCCCTTAAGAAGGAAATGCCTAGGTCAGACCTAGGGGACGGATGGTTTTGGGGCTGTAGCAACCCCAGGGCCCGATGCTACTTGGCTCAATCAGACTTCTACGTCTGCCCTCAGCAGGGTCAACCCAGGGGGTCGGGATGCGGGGGATACCAAGAATATTTTTGTAAAAAATGGGGATGTGAGACCACTGGGAGTGCCTATTGGAACCCAGGCTCATCTTGGGATCTAATAACTGTGCACCGAAATTACACTCGCCCCCCCTTGGGCAGATCTGACTGCGCCCCTCCTGCTGACTGGGGGACTTGGACCTGTGAGTCGGGCCTTTGCCTCCCCTTGAGAATTGACTTCACCACCCAAGGGAGGAAAGACTATGTTGCCTGGTTGAAAGGCAAGACTTGGGGACTGAGATGGTACTTGCAGGGGCCGGACAAAGGGGTTGTCTTTAAGATTCGCCTGGAGATTCGGGACCCTGCTCCACGAGCCATAGGGCCCAACCCAGTTCTTAGAAACCCAGGGATGCCTAAACCCCCCACGCCTGGAGCCCCGATTCCGGTCACTACCCCAGTCCCAATCGCCATCAGTCCCCCTCAGGTCACTGCTCCCCAGGGAGAAGGCACCCCCCCCTCAACCGGCCAGCGGGCCTTTGAATTGATCCGAGGAGCCTTCTTTGCCCTCAATCGAACAGACCATACCGAACATTGAGGCCCTTTAAGATTTTAAGATTAAAATCTTGCAAAAAGAAAAGGGGGGAAATGAAAGACTTAAACTAACACAGAAATGAAATGGAGCCCAAATAAGAGAACTCCCCAAATGGAACGCAGGGCAGTGTGACCCAGAAAGCTGACCAAGGCCACTGTGACTTAGTTCCTGGAGTTTGCTAACCACCCGCAACCTCTCCCTTACAAGGCCCTAAGATAGCCGGATACCAAGAATTTCCAGATGGTCGCCCAACCCCCCAGGGAACTCAAGGGGGAACACACTGCCCCCCCCCCCGTCAGTGTGTCCGCAGATGACAAATACGGACCTTGAGAAACAAAGAGATAGCTGCAACTCACGTTTGCTTAGGCAAGATCGATTAGCACTGCTGACCTAAACTGTGAGGCCATCTGGCCTTAAAAAGATAAGGAGCATGCTAGAGCCCATGACTCTGGTCAGTACTCAACAGTCAGAGGGTCACGGGCCCTCCCGAAGCTTGTGGGTTTTGCCTTTAAAAATGCCTGTGCCCGGAGAATGAGGCTTCTCTCTAGCCTGCGTGCTGAGGGGGCCCGTTTGCGCAAATGCTTTCCATTCATTAAAGCCTCTTGCGTGTTGCATCAACTGGACTGGACATTGGGTTCTTGGGGGAACCGACGGGAAGGGGAGACTCCTCATTCTGAAGGGTCTTACACTTCCATTTCTCCCTTCTGCCCTCCCTCCCTTACTTTTTTCTTTTCCTTTTTTCAGAGTCTCTCTTGGTGGCCACTTGGTAACCTAGAAACATTTTGGAACTGAGCCTTTTCTGAGTTCAGCCCAAGACTCAGTGGGGGTCTAAGGCCTGCCCTGTGCCAGCTCTGTTCCCTCCGCTGGTCTCCACCCACCTTCCTCTTGTCCTGCATCGGGGCTGCCATACGGAACCCACATTCCGGCACTGGTCATAATCATAGTGAGGCGGTCACAGCTGCAGCGAGCCGTTTGTCCAGGGCCCTGAGCACACAGCTGTTAGAGTCGGCAGCTATTAGACACCCAGAGTCTGCAACACACAGTGAGATACCGGTCTAAATTGATCCTGCTAAAAACTTTCCTTTTTTACACTTTATTTATTATTTAGCGGGGGCCATCCCCTACTTTTGTGTTGCTCCCATAAACACCATGCCTAAGAGCAACTGAAGGAAGAAAGGGCATATTTTAGTTGAGAGTGCCAGAGGGAGAGATGTGCCGTGAGGAGTCACATTTCATCCACACACAGGAAGCAGAGAGAACAGGAAGTGAGAAAATGCTATAAAGCCTCAAAGCCCACCCACAGTGAGTCACGCCCTCCAGACTGGAGAAATAGCCGTTTAAAGCACAGGCTGCTCTTCCAGAGAGCCTAGGTTCAACTTCCAGCAGCTCCGTGGCGGCTCACAACTGGCTACAATTCCAGTCTGGGGATACACTGCCCTCTTTTGGTCTCCAAGGGCACTGCATGCACGCGGTGCACAGACGCATGCAGGGACAATCCATACACATAACATAAAAATATATCTTAAAGTTTTTCCTGACACGCCTTTATTACCAGCACTCAGGAGGCAGAGGCAGGAGGATCCCTGAGGTGGAGGCCAGCCTGGTCCACAGAGTTTCAGAACAGCCAGCGTTACAGAGGGAAACCCAGTGTCAAACCCACTCCCCCCAAAAAACGAATGCAGAATAGAGTTAGAGAAATAGGTCAGCAGGGAAAGGCTTTGTAGGGAGCGGACCTTGTGGGGCTGCAATCAGAGCCAGCCGAGCGGCCCCAAGTCTGTACCTGAGTGGGGGAGTGTGGATGAGGGAGAGGTTAGCTATAGATGATAAAGACAGAGACACAGAATAAAATCAGGAGGGCAGATCCGTCAATACTGAAATGCCACTTTGAGTTTATTTTTCACCACTCTTATAAACTTTAACCAAAAATGGGAACACAGTTTCATGTATATGGAACAAACAGACTTTTTTCCTCAGTCTGAGGGTTCAGTAACCACATCTTAGCTCCAACTTCTTGTTCCCTAGCCTTGAGGTCAGGAGTAGCCACACCTCAGATTCAGGTCTGTTGTTATTTTAGACTAAGACATCCTACTGTAGGCACACCTTTGACCTTTAGGTCTTGTGACTTGCTGACAGCTTTGAACTCTGCCCTTGTGCCACGATGGAGTGCAGCCATCTTTATGGGCACCCACAAGACTTGAGTTAGGTCCCAGGATCCACGTGCTGTTAGGAGAGTACTGACCCCCACAAGCTGTCCTACAACCCCACACCTGCACAGCAGCATACACACTCATAATAAGCAAATAGTTTCCAATGCAGAACACTTTCCTGTAGGCTTGCTTGGCTTGCAGCTGTTAACTGGTAAAATGTCCTTACCTCTCCTCCCCACTTCGTGGCCCTTGTAAATAAATTTACAGCCCTCTTAGTCTTCCTTTTATCACTAATAGCTTTTGAAAGACTTAAACCAGCAAAGAAATGAAATGAAGCCCAAATAATTGGAATGCTGGGCAGAATTTGCTAACCACCAGCCCTGAGATAGCAGGATACCAAGAATTCACACTGCCCCTCCTTTCAGTGAGTCAGCAGGTGGTAAATAGGGTCCTTAGGAAACAAAGAGATAGTTGCAACTCCGGTTTGCCCAGACAAAATTAATTAGCACACCCTGAGGCCCTAAGGTCTGTTGACCCTAATAGCGAGACCATCTGGCCTCAAAGGGTCATGTACTCAATGGACAGAGGATCACACCCCCTCCCTAAGCTTGTGGGTATGCCTTTAAAAACACCTGTGCCTGGAGAATGAGGCTTCTCTCTAGCCTGCGTGCTGAGGGGGCCCGTTTGCGCAAACGTTTCCTGTTCATTAAAGCCTCTAGCGTGTTGCATCAACTGGACTAGACATTGGGTTCTTGGGGGAACCGACGGGAAGGGGAGACTCCTCATTCTGAGGGTCTTACACTTTAATCTCTCCTTTTATTTATTTCCTTCTGGTGCTGTTAATGAATCCATGGCTGTGGGTATGCTGGGCTAGCACTGTACCACACCCCTAGCCCCTCACTGGTAGGCACACACACACACACACACACACACACACACACACACACACACACAGGTTTATTTGTTTGTTTGGTTTGGTTTTTTTGAGACAGGGTTTCTCTGTAGATCTAGCTATCCTGGAAATCACTCTGTAGACCAGGCTGGCCTCGACCTCACAGAGATCTGCCTACCTCTGCCTCCTGAGTGCTGAAATTAAAGATGTGTGCTACCGTACCTGGCTCAGATTTTTAAGTTTTCATTAATGCCTATTTAATTTTAAGTGTATGGGTGTTTAGCTTCATGTATAGTCCTTGTAAAGGCCAGGAAAGGGTATCAGATCCCCTGGAACTGGAGTTACAGACAGTTGTGAGCCACCATATGAAGTGCTGGGAATTGAACCCAGGTTCTCTGGAAGAGCAGCCAGTGCTCTGTGCACTGTATTATACAGAGAAATGTGTATTTACCCTATGACCCAATAATTCCATTCCTGAGTATTTACTCAAGAGAAATGCAACCTATGTCCACACAGACCTTCATACATGAACAGTCATAACAGCTTTATTCAAAATAGCTCCAAGTGGAAAACAGCTTGAGTATCCATCATGGTGAGTGGATAAACAGATTTCAGTGTATTTGGTCCCTGGAATATTACTCAGCAATAAGAAAGGAACAAGGCACTGATGATGCATCCAGCAACTTGAGTGAGTCACATAGGAGCTGTTCAAGAGGAGGCGGTCAGGTCAGGGAATGTGTGACAGATGTGTCCATCAGAGGCCAAGCGGGAACCTGGAACCACGTAGTCACTGGGAACATAAATGTTCGTGACTCAGATATTAAGTATAACGGGCCAGGCAGTGGTGGTCACACGTGAACTGTGGCACACGTTCATACACACGCACACAACACACACACACTAAAAATTTAAAAAAAAAATTTAAAAAGTTAAAAAATTAAAAAAAAAAAAACAAAACTGCTTTTTGAGACAAGTTTCTCTGTAGCTTTGGAGCCTATCCTGGAACTCGTTTTGTAGACCAAAAGCCTTGAACTCAATAAAAAGACAGCAGCCCCAGGCGGGGATGGAATTTGCCAGACGTGCACACGTCCTGTAGGATGCCAGACAAACTGTATACCAGGGAAGTGTCTGGGGTGAGATGGTGCTGGAGAACTCTGGCAATGCCAGAGACACTGTGGCCTGCAAGCACATTCTACGGAAAAGTCTGAAAGCTGGGAAGCCAACCCTGCCGCCTGTCACGCTCCTTCAGCGCCCCCTACTGGAAGCTGGTAGCATCGGAGCAGCCGGCAAAGGAAAAGGATTATTAAAGGGCCCAACTTCAATTCAGTGAATAGGTAATTGACAGGTACTACCATAGTTTTACTGCCATAGTCGCAGCAAGACTGAGGCAGGAGGATCACTGCATATTTTAAGCCAGCTTGCACTAGAGTGAGCCCCTGTATAAGAACATCAACAAAAACAAAAACCATCACCAAAATTCTAGAAAACTTGAGAGCTGGTGAGAAACTCAGTGGGTAAAAGATAGGTGGCAACATGCAGGACCATCTGAGATCTCCCGAGATTCATATGCTGGAAGCAGAGAACTGACCACAAAGTTGTCTTCTGACCTTCATACACAGCAGTGGAGTGTGTGTGTGCGTGCACGCATACACACACACACACACACACACACACACACACACACACACCACAGACATTTTTTTGTTGAGCTGTGTTGGCATACACCTTTAATCCCAGAACTTGGGAGGCGGAGGCTGGTACCCTGTGAGATCGAGGCCAGCCTGGTCTACAAATGAGTGCCAGGACAGCCTCCAAAGCTACACAGAGAAACCCTGTCTCAGAAAAATAATAAAATAGAATAAAATTTAAAAACAAAGAAACAAAAAACATTTTTAAAAGCCAAGTATGATTGTGGACACCTTTGACTCCAGCACTCCCAAGGCAGATCTCTGAGTTCAAGCAAAGCCTGGTTTATTTAGCAAGTATGAGGTCAGCCACGGTTACACAATGAGACACTCGCACCTGAGAGAGAGAGAGAGAGAGAGAGAGAGAGAGAGAGAGAGAGAGAGAGAGAGAGAGAGAGAGAGAACCCTTCGGTTGAGTGGGAGAATGTGGTTGCCTGGTCTCAGAAGAGCGAGGACAGATGGTTGCATAAACAATTACTGTGTTTACCTTCAGTGCTCAGGGAACTAGCCGGGCTCAGCAAACTGGCCTACACTCAGGGGTCTCATGTACTTGCTATCAGAGGGAAGAGACCGGGACACCGCCATTTGTCTTCTCCGGTGCCTATAATGGGAACCCTGAGACAGCTGGGCTGGAAGAGCTGGCCTGTCTAGACCACACCTCCCTGTGGTCTCTCCAGCCCACTGTCCTCAAAACATCTGCCATGTCAGCAGCTGACACAGGCAGGGATGTGGTAGAAGGGATTGCACCAGCTCTTCCCAACCTCATGGCTTGGGACCTCACCTGAGCAGCGGAGATGTGTGTGATTCCCATCCCAGGCAGCTGTAAGCCTCAGTGTGCCCACCCCTCCGGTCAATTGTT